GGTTAAGTGATTTGACCGAAGAAAAAAAAAGCTGAATAAAAGTATTCAATATATTTCGATAAAGGAGCTTAAACAAAATATATTGGTAGATTTAGGGGGAAATTAAAAATGTTGATGGAAAATTTTCATTGTGTTTTGGTCATGTAGTTTGACCGAAATATATTGGCAAATTTAAAAAAAAAAAAAAACCAAATTATTTAATGAATGATTTGTAGGGGGAAATTCAAAATGATGGCGGAAAATTTTCAATGTATTTCGATCAAGTAACTTGACCGAAATAGATATCGATATTTGAAGAAAAAATCAAATTATTTAATAAATTGTAATATACATAATAAATATTATAAAAGATTTAATACTAAAATAATTCGATATTCATATTATGAATTATATACAATTTTTATTTATTTAATTTTTTGACCTTTTATGGTTTTTTAATTATGAGTATAATTATTTATTAATAAGTATGATTCAATTTGCATATATGTAGGAAAATAAAAACAAATAAAAATTATTTTACATTTGTAAAAAGAATCCTAAAAAAATAGAATGCAAAATAAATAAAAGAATAACAAATGAAATCAAATTAATTAAAGCATGCAAAATAAATAAAAGAAATGAAAAAAATATTTATATGAGTATAAATAAGGTAATGAAGTTAATTACCTCCATAATGTTGCCCCATTTTTCATCAAATTAGGGAACCTTAAGAAATAAAAAATCAAGTCATTAGTACAAACATCAAAAACATATATATAAGATAATAAAATGCAAAGAAAAATTTACATAATTTAGATAATTAAAGAAAATGGAGGTCAAAGAGAAATGGTAAAGAAAGGAGTTAGTAGTATTACATAATGTCAAGAAAAAAACTAAAGAATATGAATTAAACTTGAAGAAAAATATTTAAGATGAGTATTGATTAACAAGTAGTATAAAAAGAGAGACGAAGAAATGAAGATTTAATGAAAATTCAAAGAAAATTAACTAAAGTTAAGAGGAATAAAAGATAAAGAAAAGCGTTGAAGTTGAAGAAGTAGAGAAGAAAGAAACGAAAGAGAAGATTGATAATAAATAAAAAGAGTGAGCCATAATATATATAAATAGGCATGGACTATTTCGGACAGTCATATTGACCGAAATAAAAGGGTGAAAATTTCAAATGCTTTTCCACAAAAAAATTCAAAAGGTAGAGCAGGAATATGAAATTAGTTTGGTAATACTTTTTGACTAAATTGTATGTAGAGGGAAATTCAAAATTTTCCCTAAATTTTTTGGCAAAGATCAAGTAGCCTTCTTTGTTTTTTTTAAGCTTATTTTGATTATTGTGCTTGACCAAATTAATCATTTTGACCAAATTAAAGATCAATTTTTTTCTTTGAGAGTGGGATATTGGGTTGCCTTTTTTTGGTCAAGTCCACTGACCGAAATAGAGATCATTTTTTTTCTTCGAGGATGGGATAATGCCTTTTTCGGTCAAGTGTTTTGACCAAAATAGGTTGTTAAGTCTTTTGCTTATTGCTCAAGTTCTTGCTTTTTGATGTTTCCTCTTCTTTTTTACTTTATTTGTTTCAAAATTTTTTGGATAAAATTTATAAGTAATATAAAATAAAATTTCTACCAATTAATGAGCTCTATATTCTAAACATATATTATAACATGTAATTGAAACACATAAATATAAAAGATAACCTGTAATACCCCAAAATTTCTAGAGCATTAAAGTGAGTTAGGGACTTGTTTGAGAAAGAAATATTGTTTTGGGCTTAATAGCCAAAGTTTGAAAGTTGAGGGGCTTAAAAGAGTAAAGATATTGGATAAGGATCAGCCTTTTTCTTTTCTTTTTCTTCTTTCTTTTCTTCCCCAGCCATTTCCCGATTCTGCTCTTCTTCTTTCCGCTGCAGCTCCCGAAACCCCCCCCAAGCTGCCGGCAACAAGTTTTTGAGGAAAACCGGTAAAAGCTTAGATTTTTCCCCCCTTTTCTTGTCCAAGAACCTGATTTAGAACCCAGAAATCTCCCCCCTGCAGGAAGCTCCTGGATCTGCTCTCCTCTTCCTCCCCTGTCCGCCGGCTACTCTTGTTTGTGGGTGTGATTTTCGGTCTTTCTTGGTAAGAAGTAGCCATGAAATTATCTCTTTAGCTTTGATTTGGGCTTGGGTTTACCTTAATTCCCTTTTGGTTCTTGAATTTTCGGTAATTTTCCCAGAATTTCCCCTGCACATGCCGTCGGCCTCCCCCCCTGCAGCTCCGGTTTTAGCTGGAGAATTATGGTATGTTGACAGCCATTTAAGGCTTAAATTATCCATTTGTTTGCTGCCTTGTGTGTGTCCGAAAATCTGTAGAAAATGGGGATAATTCCGGTAACTTTAGGATGAGATTTAAGTACTAATTCAAGTGGGTTTTTGTTTAATTTAAGTGTAAATTGCTTGAGTTGATTGCTGTGTGATTTTTGGAGAAAATCCCGTGAGATTAGCTAGTGTTTTGGCCAATTGGTGGAAGTGGAGTTACTGTTCACGTCGGGGTACTGTTCACCGACACTGTTCACACACCGAGGGTCAATAATTAACGGGGATTTAAATGATTAGTTTGTGATATAAGAATGAATTTGGAGATATTTGATCATGTGGAGTTTGATAGGAATAATATCGTGATTAGGGATTTATAGTGATGATTTCACTTGAACTGCGATAGTGCGATATTGATTCTGAAATGTTTTGATTAGGTTCCGATCATTCTGTCAGTTAGTACGTGAATTGAGTGCTCAGTTTTATGTGAAGTGAGGTAAGTAAATTATGGTAAAGCCCTTCGATTTTAAAGCATGTTTTAAATTGTTTTTGAGATGGTGGCAAGGTTCAAATTAATTTTAAATTGATTTTATCAGCATTTGAATGTGGTTAAACTGGAATGAAAAATTGTGATGATTTCTATAAGAATTTCACTATTTTTCTGGAATTGAGCATGAATGGAATAAAAACGAGGATTTTATTGATTTTCTGGAATTGAGCATGATTGGAATGAAAATGAGAATTTCATTGTTTTTCTGAAGTTGAGCATGCCTATTTGGAAATTGACTGAACTGTTTTGATGAACTGAGAGTTTTTGTAAATTCTGAGTTTTCTGTTAAATCCATGCTCACATGGAGATTTTCCGATTGTTTCTAAGATTGGAGATTGACTGTCCTGATGATCTGAAAGTGATTGTGAATTGTGATTTTCCTGTGAACTTTTGCCTGTTTTGTCTCCGATATGGTCATGTTATTCGTGTGCCCGCTAGTGGGAGGTTTATAAACGCTAGCACATGTCGACATGTTATTGATAGAACCGGTTCGTTTGAGTGACCCTGCTAATGGGGGTTATACACCAGCAAATCGTGTGCCTGCCAGTGGGAGGTTTATAAACGCTGGCCGTGACCTATAGAGGAGACGTCTATTTCGTGCCCGCACTGTATCTGTTTTCATGATTACACTTGTTGGCATGCTATGAGTTTAATTGATGGTTTTGTCATTGAACGTTTTGCTATTGAACCGAATTTGATTTCTGCATTTACGATTTATTAGTGAGAATTCTGTTATACTTACATGGTTTATCTGGCATGCTTATATTTTTACCCAGGGGCTATCCATATTTACTTACTGAGTTATCTCATAGTTTTCCTTGTCCACCATTTCAGGAAGTGAAACCAAGGACGGGGAAACCAAGGGGAGTGACGAGTTAGAAGGCTAGCCATCTTGTAATTGAATATGGATTTTAGATGTAAATGATGATATTGTAATCTAGATTGTAATTGGAGATCGTATAAATTCATTTAGTGGATTGTTAGTTTATAAGAGATTTGATCTGGAGATTTTGAGGTTAAGTCATGTGGACATAGAAAAGAAATTTTGAAATATCCAATCTGAGTTATGGGATTGTCAAATGTGAATTGGATAAGTTCCGAGCCTTGTGCATTTGTGGGACCCACTCATGAGTGCATTGCGTCTGTCGCGCCACGAATTTGGGTTTTGGGGCGTGACATAACCTAATATCATAATTAAAGTGTTATGACATAGAATACTAATTAAAGTGCTATGTCCTAATCTCATACATGGATAAGGAAAATTAGAAAATA